GGGGGGGGGGGGGTGTGTGCAAATTTCTAAGATTGCAATATACCCAAAAAAGAGGGGGGTCCAAATCTCAAAATTGCAATATATAAAAGGGTCGAAATCTCTCAAAACTTGCAATATACCAGGAGTTCCAAATTCCAAAATTGTGCAATATAACCAAAAAAAAGGGTTCCAAATCCCCAAAATTGCAATATAGCAAAAGAGGATGGGTTCCAAGTCCGAAAATTGCCAAATATATCAAAGGATCCGCAAATCCCAAAATTTGTCAATATACCAAGGGGGGTCTTAATCCCTAAATTGCAATATATGGAGGGTCGAAATCTCAAAATTGCAATATATCAAAGGGGTCGTCCAAATCTTGAAAATTGCAATTTATCAAAGAGGTCCAAATCCCCAAAATTTGCAATATAATGAAATGGTCGAAATCTCAAAATTGCAATATATCAAAGGGTCCAAATCCCAAAATGCAATATACCGAAAGTACTTAAATCCTAAATCTCTCAATATACCAAAGTGGCCTAATCCCAAAATGTCTTAATCCAAAAGTACTCAAAATGGTTCCCTATACCAAATTTCCAAAGTCAAAAAAAATAAGAAAAATATCATACCTGACGGTATATCAGACGGGAGTCGTTTTCCTCAACGTATCGAAACTCCATTCGCTGCCCCTGATCGGGGGTGGCGGCGGCAGAGAGTCATCCAGGTCAAAGGTGACGAATTCGTGTCGAATACTCGGACTGTACTCTTCCTCCTCTTCTTGAAGAACATCAGCTGTTGTGCTAATCTGAATTTAGTCGAATTATTATCTTCCCATGATACAACTATAAAATACTGTCGATAAAAGATCTAATACTGAATTTTGTTCAGGTATTAATACGAAATGCTTACCGTCTGAGTGGTGAGATCTCTAGGAAATTGTCTGGAATAATCGTGGTAGTCCAGATTCGGGGGAGGTGGTAGAAATTCGTCGAAATCGACGTGATCCACGGAATCTCTGCTGAAAAAGTATCTCTTCTGATGCCTTTCGCAGAGGAAACCACTGTGACCTATTGTCGCGTGATTTGCATGATGCATGTGATGATTGTCTAAGTGATACACACCCTGAAAAGAGATGGTATGAAAAAAGAACGAGTGGTCTTTTGTACGAAATGAAACGTGCGCAATATTCAGGAACATAAATGGAATATTTTCGTTTCTCATATGTTTCAAATAACGGGAATCTCGATAAATTCTCTCCTGCAATTTTGCTAAATTTTTTAGAATTTTCAATAAAAAAGAAACAAAAAATAATAGACTACATTAATAGATGTTTAAAAGTTAAATATAAGAAGTGTTGTGTTACTATTTGAATTGATTTTGAAATATAGATGAAAGTGTAGTAATGAATAAATGTGAAATAAGAGACAGTCGATTTTATGGCACAACCGCTATTAATTTTAAGGGATATTTTTTACGCCCCACGATGGTTTTGCATTTAAAATTGCGCTCAATACTAAAGGCGTTAAAGGTGCATTGTTTCCGAGAGGAAATAGGTCGAATGCATAAAAGATACATTAAACCCTAATCTGCATAATTATCGCGCGCATGTTACAGAACAAAAATTCCGGTCTTCGTTTTATTAACATTTTTATCGTTTCTTATTTAGAATATATGGAAATTTAACTGCAATTCATATAAAATTAACGATGGTACTTTTTTAAATAAACTTTTTCCGCTTGATGTCTTCTTTTTGCTTCAAATAATATAACCTCTTTATATTGTATTTAAATAATATAACCAATTCTTTGCATACCAAATTTTAACTGTGGCTTGAGAGTGAATTTTTTGTTTAAATTATTTTACAGTAATAACTATATATTTATAATAATTAACTTAATAGTTGAAAGGTTTTGCTTCATACAGAAATTTCAAGTAATTTCTTTCTAAATTTTAGTATAAACTTAGTATAATGAATTAGTATAATGATGTGATATGAATAAAGAAATAGAAAATAGTAGTATTTGATAATATAAAAATTAATATCACAAGAATTCACTAAATGCATTAAATTTAATTATGAATTTATCTTCTGGCATTAAGATATGTTACAGTAAAAATATCTTGAAGAGTAATTATTGAAAAAAAATGAATAAAAAAATTAGAAACAAAGAATGTCTTTTTAAAAGTCTTTAAAATAATTATTCCTCGAGCACAGATTCTCGCGAATAAAAGAACGGAACAACAGACATTGAATACCATTGTAGAATGCTTTTCAGTGTAGCACGATTAAATCGTAGGTAGGCTATTAACTGACTTGAAGCAAATTTAGCGACTTAGTCTAACTGAATTGCGATCCTGCAGCTAGGGGTAAATTACATTTAAGTGGTAAACAGACACCGAATGAAAACGAAACGGAACGCGAAGCAGTAGCTCTCGGTTCTCGAGTGTTTGAGATCTTATTTACGGAAAGCTATCCTCCCCCGAAACGAATCATGCTTTCAACTTTTTGTGTTGGGAACTCTTATTAAATCATGCAAAATGTTATTCGTTTGCTTTGTTACATCTAATATGTTGGTCAAGTTTATATTAGATGGAAGATTTTTAATTTTACAAAACTGGTTGGGTAAAAGTTTGTAAATATTTCAAAGTGAATAGCAATATTTAGTTAGGCAAGTTTAGGTTAGGTTATATTAATCTACGTCAAATACAAGTTTATTATTTTTTGACACGCTGATGAATATTACAGAAGTAAATATCAATATTTAGTTAGGCAAGTTAAGGTTAGGTTATATTAATCTACGTCAAATACACGTTTATTATTTTCTGTCACTCCAATGAAGAAGTTCAGGTTAGGTTATATTAATCTACGTCAAATGCAAGTTTGTTACTTTTTGTCATCGTGATGAAGAAGTTTAGGTTATGTAATATTAATCTACGTCAAATACAAGTTCAATGCTATTATAACTATTTCAACTTTAGAAGCCAGTTTAGGACCCATATAAAGTAATCTTAGGAAACTATATCTAATACCAGCAAATATTGCAACATAATCGTCAAAGGAACGGGTGTGCAAGAAACGTGAACTACGAAGTAAACACAGCAAGAAATGGCAAAACACGGTAAACAAGAAGTAGGTAAACGAAAGAGCAATTCACACTCTACAATGATCTACAGAGTCTTTGTTTGTTCGTTCTTGCCTGATTTATCCCTGTCAGTGATAGAAGAGTACCGTTCTCTGGGCAATAAGGTACTGCAAGTAGAATAGGTCAACCATACACGGACCATTGATTTACGTAGGCGATGTAGCATAACGTTTTCTTATTTCTTTCTTTACTTGAATTAATGGGAGCTTCAAACAATTTTTACTTGCATTATTTGTCATGGTGCAGAACTACAAAGATAATTGAAGTAAACAAAGGTAGTTGAAATACAGGGTGTCTCACAATTAGTGTAGGTCCTTGAAATGGTAGCTGACGTGAATCTGAAGGAGACACTTGATACCTGAAACCTGATACTTGGAACTAAAAACTTGATATTTAAAACCTGACACTTGATACCTGAAACTTGATACCTGAAACCTGATACTTGGAACTAGAAACTTGATATCTGAAACCCGACACTTGATACCTGAAACCTGATACCTGTAACTTGATACGTACTTTCAACGACCAGACTTGTAACTCGATACTTGAAACTTGATATTTGAAACCTGATACTTGATACCTGGAACCTGATACTTGGAACTTGATACGTACTTTTATTTTGCAGCGTACTTGATGACTCGAGAGTGACTCTTCGAAGAATTTTTACGTTTCGCAAAAGCTCGGAGTGGGCTAACAATTTTTGTGACATTACCGAGGGAATACAGTTCCTGATTTTCTATCGGTTTAGCTAAAATTCGGCTGGAGATGTAAATACGAGTGAATAATTCAAAAACGAAGCTTCAGACCCCATTTTTGCAAAGGGAAATCTTATTCAGAATCGCGTCAGCTATCATTTCAGGGACCTACACTAATTGTGAGACACCCTGTTAATATTCAATAAACTTCAAAATAATATTTAATAAATTTTAATACTCCTACTTAATCAACCTTAATATCGTTATTTCACATTAAATTCGCAAAGTTAAATGCAGAGGAAGGTTTACGATTAAGCAAGCAATTCAACTTGGACAGAATATTCCACGGATTAAATTTCTATTCGCACAGATTTTTTACAGCGTGCATCATAATTTGTGAAATATATTCGTCACAATTAGTTCGCATGTGCAAGTACGTACCACGGTAGCGTAATTACCTCAGATATCGCAATTACGCGGAACTGATACACGTGTCACAGAGAAGCTTTTCACTGATATTTATCTTCGCTGAAAATAAACTTTACTACGTTGGAATTCGTGCAAGGTCGAGTGAAGCCACGTTGATATTTAACTAAGCTGGAAGTCCATTTGCGTAAAGGTCTTACTTCGTCCGTTAAAACCACGAGATTCTGACTGAATCTTTCAACTTATCTGCTTTAAAATCCTCGAAAAATCTCCGGCAGGCACGTACGCTCGCTGAAAGCGGCATTAATTTTACATGTCGAATTTTATATCGCTCTGAGGGTCACTGGAGATCGATTATACGAGTTTAACCGGTCAAATGGTCTTCAATTCGTACATTTATAAATTCCTATCCAAATTTTATTTTAGAGATTCATTTTAGAGTTTCATTTTAGAGATTCTGCATTTCACATTTATAAATTTTGGGATTATAGAATTTTTCGAATGAAAATTCTGCAATTTCTCAAATCCTTAGATTTTCAAATCTTTACTACCCTAACTCCCTAGATCTCCAATTGCAAAATTTCCCAAATCCTTAAATCCTCAAATTGCAACTTTCTCAAATCCCTAGATCCCCAAATTGCAACATTTCCAATATCCCTAGATGCCAATAGCTTTAGATCCCAAATATCCCTCGATCCTAAATTTCCCTAGATCTCAATATTGCTAGATTCCAAATATCCCTAGATCCTAATATTCTTCGGTCCAAATATCCCTAGATCCCAAATTTTCCTAGACCCCAAATTTGTCTAGATCTCAAATTTCCCAAGATCCCAAATTTCTCTAAATCCCCAATTTCGCTAAATCCCAAATTTCCCTAGATCTCAATATCCCTAGGTGTCAATATCTCAATATCCCTAGATTCTCAAATTCTTAAACCCTGAAATTCTCAACCTCCCAAGTTCTAAAATCCCCAAATTCCTAAATCCTGAAATTTTCAAATCCCAAAATGCACAAATTCGTGAATTCATAATTTCCGAAAACTCTCCACCGTAAAATTATCGGAACGTTACTCAGAGCGAATAACTTTGAATTCGATTTGCATACGCGTCCGCCCGAAGGAAAATTATTCGATCGGCTTGATACTCTGCCAAAAAACAAAGAGATTCCGAGGCATATAATGAAAACTTAGAGGCGGATGTTAATTCTGTCCAAGTTTCTTTTCGACGAGATAAAACGAGAAGCGATCTAACGAAAATGGTAAGAAAAGAAGCTAATACTACCAACCCCGTAATTTTTTCGCCTGGGATCCCTCCGTACCAGTGCTTTTTGATGCCAAGAGATGTACAAGAAAATGGCGTAAGTGCCAGCGACCTCGGTCGTGATGAAGCCACTCACGTACAGCAGAAATGAGAATCCGTACCTGTAGGTGAAGGGCGGTCCCTGAAATCGCAAGATTGCGACGATGGTGTTCATTCGTATGAGTACGATACGGATAAGAAGCAATCTAAGCTGTCAGAGAAAATATAAAATCGAGAATTTCATATCTTACTTTCCTTGCTTCGTGTATTACATGCACGTTGGATCTCACAACGTAATTGATCTGAGAATTTATTTACCGTGATTGGTGGTCATAAATTATAGTTTTGTTATTTTTTTTGCAATTTTAGTATTTTTTTTTTTTATAGTTTGATACTTCTGTAGGCTGCTAGTTGGATACTTTGTTAGTTTGGTAATTTGATAGTTTGGTAATTTGATAGGTTGATAATTTGATAGTTTGGTAATTTGATAGTTTGGTAATTTGATAGATGGTAATCTGATAGTTTGGTAATTTGATAGATGGTAATTTGATAGTCTGGTAATTTGATAGTCTGGTAATTTGATAGTTTGGTAATTTGATAGCCTGGTAATTTGATAGTCTGGTAATTTGATAGTCTGGTAATTTGATAGTCTGGTAATTTGATAGTCTGGTAATTTGATAGTCTGGTAATTTGATAGTCTGGTAATTTGATAGTCTGGTAATTTGATAGTCTGGTAATTTGATAGTCTGGTAATTTGATAGTCTGGTAATTTGATAGTCTGGTAATTTGATAGTCTGGTAATTTGATAGTCTGGTAATTTGATAGTCTGGTAATTTGATAGTCTGGTAATTTGATAGTCTGGTAATTTGATAGTCTGGTAATTTGATAGTCTGGTAATTTGATAGTCTGGTAATTTGATAGTCTGGTAATTTGATAGTCTGGTAATTTGATAGTCTGGTAATTTGATAGTCTGGTAATTTGATAGTCTGGTAATTTGATAGTCTGGTAATTTGATAGTCTGGTAATTTGATAGTCTGGTAATTTGATAGTCTGGTAATTTGATAGTCTGGTAATTTGATAGTCTGGTAATTTGATAGTCTGGTAATTTGATAGTCTGGTAATTTGATAGTCTGGTAATTTGATAGTCTGGTAATTTGATAGTCTGGTAATTTGATAGTTTGGTGATCTGATACTTCAATAGTCTGCTATTTGGATACTTTGTTAGTTTGATAATTTAATAGTTGATACTTCAATAAATTTGTTAGTTTGGTAATTTAATAGTCTGATGGTCTCCTAGTTTGGTAGTTTGATACACTGATACTTCCATAGGTACATAATTCCATACTTTGAAATCCAATCATGAATCATTTGTTAAATAAATTCCAACTATTTCCAAATACTTTCCCAATTTTACCAAATATTGTATCTCGAATCAAATTTTTTTCAAGATACATTCAAAACAACCCCAATTCACCAAATTTACAACCCCAAATTTCTACTCAAAGAACATTTATATAATTTAAAATATCAGCTCATTGAATTCGACGTTAAAGCATGAAAACTAAAGCAAATAAAGCGATTCAGAAAGCCATAATTCACTGACCTGAAACGACGACCTTGGTCTGAGTTTACTGCCAACCTCAGCTTTGAACACAGATATGTACATCACCATTCCCACCAGCATTAACAAACCTGAAAGAGAAAATGGTTTAATAACTTTAACTTTATCTCCGTGCAGCAGTTCTCGCGACAATTTCATGGAGGCTGACCAGCTTACTTAACCGGATTACTTAAACTTTTGCTCTCATTTGCCTGTCAGTATATTATCTACAAATTTGTCTTTGTATCAGTTTTCTTTGGTGATGCAAACATTGTGGGCAAATAAAGATTTATCTGATTAAGAGAACAGGTGGATGAATAATTTTAACGTAGGTGCTGTTTGAATTGACTTGGAATGTAGATCGTCATGATGGATACATTTTTAATTTCTGTAGTGATATTATTAAGATGTTACCATAATTTTAATTGTTCAAAGCAAATTTTGTATGGGCGATAATGATAGCAAGATTCACTCATGAAGGGTCAGAGATGTTACCCTAACAATCAGCAAGGTTCATATTTGTCCACCTATGAGCAAGGTTCATATTAGTCAATCTATCAATCAGCAAGGTTCACACTTGTTAACCTATCAATCAGCAGGGTTCAAACTTGTGAACCTATCAATCAGCAAGGTTCACTCTTACCAACTTATCAGTCAGCAAGGTCCACATATGTTAATCTATCAGTCAGTAAGGTTCACATATGTCAACCTATCAGTCAGTAAGGTTCACATATGTCAATCTATCAGTCAGTAAGGTTCACATATGTCAATTTATCAGTCAGTAAGGTTCACTCTTGTCAACCTATCAGTCAGCAAGGTTCACATATGTCAATCTATCAGTCAGTAAGATTCACATATGTCAACCTATCAGTCAGCAAGGTTCACATATGTCAATCTATCAGTCAATAAGGTTCACATATGTCAATTTATCAGTCAGTAAGGTTCACACATGTCAATCTATCAGTCATTAAGGTTCACACATGTCAACCTATCAGTCAATAAGGTTCACATATGTCAACCTATCAGTCAGCAAGGTTCACATATGTCAATCTATCAATCAGCAAGGTTCACACTTGTCAACCTATCAGTCAGTAAGGTTCACACATGTGAACCTATCAATCAGCAAGGTTCACACATGTCAACCTATCAATCAGCAAGGTTCACACTTGTCAACCTACCAATCAACAAAGTTCTCTACCCTATATTTTTACTTTCTTATTCCTCTTCGAAGTCCACATTTTCCTGCATCTTGTCATGTTCATACTTCAATACCCAAACGAATAAAAATTAATGATGATTTTAACAAATATAATAAATAAAAACCATACATTTGGTTCCAAGTGTCACCTAATTCTAAAATCTGACATCAATGAGAAAAAGCAAATGTAGAAGTACTTCTGTTTGTCAAGATCCACCTACAGCGATGTTTGAAAGTACAATGCAAGGCTGTGAATGAACTCGCGAAGAATGGTGGAACATAGAAAGTAGTGTATGATATAAGCTAGCGTAGTTTATTACTCACCAGAAACTATGAAGACTACTCCAGCGACAAAGACGCAAAGTCTGTGTCTCGGGTGAGTAACGTGAGCAGTGAAGTAACAAACTTCAGCCAGCACGAGCAACGATGTTGCAGCGAAGAAGAACATCGCCGACTTGGTAACTGCGTCTGCGGAGAAAAAATATGGCCATGAACGGGCTGAACGAATGGGAAAACTTTCCGACCGAATTTTTTTACACCTTTTTTCACTCCCGACCATTCTTCCGTTATTATACGAAAATATGAACGCCTCGACGAAAGAATGTCTATGGACGTGATCAAATTTTCGTGAAATTTAATCCAGTTAGTTTTTTTATGGTGAGTTATTTTTGGAATTATGATATTTTTAAGGTTTGGGAATTTGCGAAGGTTAGAGTTGGACAATGTGGGAATTGGACAATGTTAGAATAAGACAATGTGGGTGTAGGACAATGTAGGAATTGGACAATGTGGGAGTTGGACAATTTGGGAATTGGACAATGTGGGAATTGGACAACGTGGGAATTGGACAATGTGGGAGTTGGACAATGTGGGAATAGGACAATGTGGGAATTGAACAACGTGGGAATTGGACAATGCGGGAAGTGGACAATGTGGGAATTGGACAATATGGGAATTGGACAATGTGGGAGTTGGACAATGTGGGAATAGGACAATATGGGAATTGGACAATGTGGGAAGTGGACAATGTGGGAAGTGGACAATGTGGGAATTGAACAACGTGGGAATTGGTCAATGCGGGAAGTGGACAAAGTGAGAATTGGACAATATGGGAATTGGACAATGTGGGAGTTGGACAATGTGGGAATAGGACAATATGGGAAATGGACAACGTGGGAAGTGGACAATGTGGGAATTGGACAATGTGGGAGTTGGACAATGTGGGAATAGGACAATATGGGAATTGGACAATGTGGGAAGTGGGCAATTTGGGAATTGGATAATGTGGGAATAGGACAATATGGAAATTGTGTAATGTGGGAAGTGGGCAACGTGGAAATTGGACAATATGGGAATAGGACAATGTGGGAATCGGACAATATGGGAATAGGACAATGTGGGAATCCGACAATGTGGGAAGTGGACAACGTGAGAATCGGACAATACAGCAATTTGGTAATGTGGAAATTTGGAAAGGCCAAAATTTCGATATTTGAAAATACTAATCTCAAAATCTATAAAAGCTAGAATCGTATAAATTGAAAAATAACTTAAAATTTAGAATTTGGAGCAGTCTAAAAGTCTCAGATACTAGTTTATTAAAGTCCCCAACATTTGTAAGCCGAATTAAAAAAACTGATATACTGTCACCCATATGGCGTGTACCGTGCGAACAGGAGCATGATCTATAATTGCCTTTTATTTCACTTGATTCGAGCCAATTGATTTTTCCCCGCAATAACGCGCGAATCGAAAAATCGAGATAGAGAAATTGTCGGATGCAGTTTGCAGGGAGGTAGATTCTCCTGTCTGAAAGCATTTTTCCGCCGAATATTTTATGTCCGTGTCACATTCCAATTCAGCAGTCAGACGGAGGACACCTAATCAACCCCTTTCAAAGGCATGTTTTCCCCGTTCCATCTGTCTCATCATGCTTGTATTTTCCCCCTTCTACTCACATGGTATTGCCATGGTTGAATCGTTTGGATCCGGGCTGTACTCCTCGTTTGGAAAATAGTCAATGCTCGAACATTCGTACTCCATGCGAGAACCTGCGAAACAAAATGGAACGATTTGTCTATCGGCAATAGCATCGTGCAGCTACATTTTTGCGACACGTTAATCTGCAAATTGTTCAATGACATTGCAAATGTGTGCTTTATTTCTGGCCGCATGCTCGTTGAATCGCGTGCATCCCGATGTTATTCTACCCTTGATACACGGTTTAGCTTTATACCTCTTTCATTTTCCATTCTATTGTCAACGGAATGGAAGCAGACTCGTTTGTTATACCCGTGTTGTTTCTTGCTCGCATACGTTACACGCAAATCGCATAAATTAGACGTCCGGGCCTGTGAATCGCGGTCTCTAATGTGCCTCCCTAATTCCTTTTGGCAAATGAAAGGGGGTGCGAGATCGGTCGTGTTTGCAACATTCCTAAATCCCCAGATTTTCAAATTCTTACACTTCCAAATTTATAGATCCCAAAATACCTGAAATTCTAAAATCCCAAAATTCCTAAATCTCAAAATTTTCAAGAACTGAAATTCTCAAATCCCTAGATCCCAAATTTCACTAGATCTTAAATTTCTCTAGACCCCAAATTTCCCTAGATTCCAAGTTCTCCTAGATTCAAAATTTCCCTAGGTTCCAATATTCTTAGATCCCAAATTTCCCTGGATTCCAAGTTTTCCTAGATTCCAAATATCCCAAGATTCTGAATTTCCCTAGATTCCAATATTTTTAGATCCAAAATTTCCCTAGGTTCCAATATTCTTAGATCGCAAATTTCCCTAGATTCCAAATTCTCCTAGATTCAAAATTTACCTAGATTCCAATATTGTTAGATCCCAAATTTCCCTAAATTCCAAATATCCCAAGATTTTAAATTTCCCTAGATTCCAATATTCTTAGATCCCAAATTTCCTTAGATTCCAAGTTTTCCTAGATCCCAAATTTCCCTAGATTCCAAGTTCTCCGAGATTCCAAATATTTCAAGATTCTAAATTTCCCTAGATTCCAATATTCTTAGATCCCAAATTTCCCTAGATTCCAAATATCCCAAGATTCTAAATTTCCCTCGATTCCAATATTCTTAGATCCCAAATTTTCCTAGATTCCAAATATTCCAAGATTCTAAATTTCTCTAGATTCCAAGTTCTCCCAGATTCCGAATATCCCTAGATTTTAATATTCTTAGATCCCAAATTTCCCTAGATTCCAAGTTTTCCTAGATTCCAAATATTCCAAGATTCTAAATTTCCCTAGATTCCAAGTTCTCCCAGATTCCGAATATCCCTAGATTCTAATATTCTTAGATCCCAAATTTCTCTAGATCCCAAATTTGGTTACTAGTCTATATTTCCCTAGATTCTATATTTTCCTGGATTCTAAATTCCCCTAGATGTTATAAAAGCTCAGATTTGCAGTTCCATATGAAATTTTACTAAGAACAATTTGTTGCATAATGTTGAAATTTTATTTTCAAAGGAACCGACGTCCTTTCCGTTGCTTTTGATTTTACCAATTTCAATCGCAGTTGAAATAAATGAGGTAGATGAACACGAATGCAATTTACGCGTCGAGTCAGTGAATTATTCGATCTTCAGCAGATCGATTTTTTTTATTCCTTCCGCGGGTTTGAATTTAATCGAAACGGAGGGAAGAAATCCGCGAACTGTGAACTTCGAACACCTCCGTTGCCGGTTATTAGACTAGACTTCGTCGCGACGATTCCGTTTTGTACGATTTAATTAAACGATCGATACCCTGCTCCGCAAGCTATTATATCTTGTCGTGTTAAACTTCCGTTACACGTTGACCGGAAATAAAACGCTTCTGATTTAATATCGAAGAAGGCTGGATGATTAATGTGTTTATACACTTCCGTCACGTGCGATTTTCGTTCGAGGTAGTTTGTTGAATTATTGCTTTGAGGAACAAACATTAATTTATGAGGGTTTGTAATAAAAATTATTAATTTAATGCCGTTTCATATTCATCATATTGTGGAATTTCCATATTGTACAATTCTTATATTGTCTAATTCCCATATTGTCCAATTCTCACATTGTCTAATTCCCATATTGTCCTATTCCCGCATTGTCCAATTCCTATATTGTCCAATTTCCGCATTTCTTCATTCCCACATTGTCCTATTCCCATATTGTCCAATTCCCACGTTGTCTAATTCCCACATTGTCCAATTCCCACATTGTCCTTTCCCTACATTGTCCAATTTCCACATTGTCCAATTCCCACATTATCCTTTCCCTACATTGTCCGATTCCCACATTGTCCTTTCCCTACATTGTCCAAATCCCACATTGTCCTATTCCCACATTGTCCAATTTCCACATTTCCCCATTCCCACATTGTCCAATTCCCACATCGTCCTATTCCCACATTGTCCAATTCTCACATTATCCTTTCCCTACATTGTCCAATTCCCAGATTGTAGAATTCCCACATTGTCCAATTCCCACATCGTCCTATTCCCACATTGTCCAATTTCCACATTGTCCAATTTCCACATTGTCCAATTTCCACATTGTCCAATTCCCACATTATCCTTTCCGTACATTGACCAATTCCCACATTGTCCTATTCCTACATTGTCCAATTCCCAGATTGTAGAATTCCCACATTGTCCAATTCCTACATCGTCCTATTCCTACATTGTCCTATTCCCACATTGTCCAATTCCCAGATTGTAGAATTCCCATATTGTTCAATTCCCACATTGTCCAACTCCCACATTGTCCAACTCTCACATTGTCCAACTCTCACATTGTCCAATTCCCACATTGTCAACAGATGTCCAACTCTATGCAATTAGTTCACAAAATAAAAGACTGTCAAACAGACGTAAATTGAGTCCACATAAAATACAATATATTTAAACAAAAAATCTAATAAATAAAAAAAATCATCCCATATATACATAATTACAAGAATGAAATGGAAGAGCATCGAAGAAAGATATACACAGAAAAATACAGGCGAGAATGAATAGAGCAGTCAATATTTCGATTCGCGAAAACGCAAACGCAATCGGTAAATTTTATTGGAATCATCCTTTGCATACCAATATTATTTGCACGGATTTGCTCTCGTAAATCCTGAAAATCAGTACACGTACGTATATACGATCCTCGTAAAGTGCTTAAACATCTGCTACGACGTTCATCTCGCGAAATCGAAATCTAAAAATGTGAAGTCGACTGCACTTGCTGTATCGAACAAATGTTCTTTCTGTGCTGACGGTGAAGGATATGAGATCAAATGTATTCAAATACTTCTCAAAAAGGGTATCAGGAAGATAACGTTTCAAATTGTAATGTTGAATGCTATTTATCATAAATCTGCTGAGTTGATGTAGTTTAGTTTTAGGTAAAATATTTTGTGGGAACACGTACTTTCTTTCTGTCACTGGTTAAAATTGGTGAAATTGATGAAATTTACGACATTGACAAAATTAATAAAATTGGTAAAATCGATAAAATCGATAAAATTGATAGAATTGATAAAATTGATAAAATTGGTAAAATTGATGAAATTAAGGAAATTTATAAAATTGATAAAATTGATAAAATTGATAAAATTGATAAAATTGGTAAAATCGATAAAATTGGTAAAATCGATAAAATTGGTAAAATTGATAAGATTGATAAAATTGGTAAAATTGGTAAAATCGATAGAATTGGTAAAATTGATGAAATTTAGGAAATTGATAAAATTGATAGAATTGATAAAATTGATAAAATTGGTAAAATCGATAAAATTGGTAAAATTGATGAAATTAAGGAAATTTATAAAATTGATAAAATTGATAAAATTGATAACATTGATAAAATTGATAAAATTGAAGAAATTAAGGAAATTGATAAAATTGATAGAATTGATAAAATTGATAAAATTGATAAAATTGGTAAAATCGATAAAATTGATAAAATTGAAGAAATTAAGGAAATTGATAAAATTGAAGAAATTAAGGAAATTGATAAAATTGATAAAATCAATGGAATCGACAAAACTGATGAAATGGATAAAATTGACGAAATTGATAAAATTGTTGAAATTGACATTGATAAAATTTATAAAATTGATGAAATTGATAAAATTGATAAAGTTAATTAAATTGATAAAATTGATAAACTTGATAAACTTGATACAATTGATAAAGTTGTTAAATTTCTGGAACTTGTTAAATTTCTTAAGTTTCTTAAATTTCCTAAATTTCTTAATATTTTTAAATTTCTTAAATATCCTAAATTTGTCAAGTTTCTTAAATTAGCTAAGTTTGTTAAATTTCTTAAATATCTCAAATGTCTTAAGATCATTGATTTTGCAAATTTTGTTAAATTTTTTAAATTTGTTTAAGTTAATTTTTCATAACAGTCAACCACGTTCAATAACTCCCACGAAACGTAAAATTAAAACGCACGTTTCGCAAAATACACCTACAGTTCGAAGTATTCAGAATCGCGGAAGCAACGCTAAGTTGGTACCGGTGATAAAGCACGCTCGTGTTTTCACCGTATTTACCTTCGATAATTATCGTTAACACATTCGAGACCAGCGATGCAGCGTGCATGTCCTCCGCTATCTGTCCGATGCAACCAACGATGCACCAGATGCATCTTGTACGGAAATTAATATTACCCGACGGTACATACAAAATTATCGGCGGAATAAAGTTCTATTTAAGTAAAGCAACAGGGAGATGATAAATTTAAAACGCGTACAATCAGCGTGCCATTGTTCAACCCCAAATTGTTCTGCAATCAGAGATACTGAATATTATAGAACGATCGTTAATTGATTCTTTGCAATGCAATACCTTTTGCAAAATTTAAAAGTATGTCAAATTATTGGAGTTTTATATTTACAAATTTTTCATTTTTATATTTGATAATTTTTGAATACGTGAATTATTAAATTTCTAGGTTCTTTGATGGACCGGAATTTCTACTTGTCTTAATTAAAATTAAATTTCTTCAAGTACACTTCATTTTCTGGAATTCTTTATGCGACCAGAATTAAATTTCTA